CCCATGGTAACATAATTATCTTATATTATAATATAGTATTTGATTTTAAAATTTTTATAAATTAATATTAATATAAATAACAAACAAATCAGGGAACCCATCTTTTACACCTTAGTTTGCTAAGAAAGTGTAAGTGTATCTCATCATAATTGATATTATTGTGTAATTGTTTTTTATAGTGTAGTTGGGGGTTGTGGGGGGCAAAGCCCCCCACGAATTTCTTCATAAAATAGGTGGGTAGGTGGTATGGGGGTGTAAGATATCGACCTGCCAGACTACTTAAATTTTAGTTCGGCGCCACTGTTTGAATGCCATCCATAATTACTTGGTCTTGGGCACTAATTTCACCTAATTGATAAAATTCATCAAATATGCTTTTTTGAATATCTYCAGGAATTAATATGTTACATTTATTTTTACAACACAGTACATCTAAATGGGTGAATATTTTTTGAGAGATTTTCTTTCCATTTCTATTTTCATAATCCATTCCTAATTTCTTCCTTTTACTCATGTGCAGTCTCTTTCCATTTTCAAATCGTTTTTTTTTCTAAAATTATCCTTTTGATTTTCATTATTGTTGGTAAACTGGGCCTCTGTATCACTTGACGACTCACTGTAATTTTGAATTATAAGAGAGTAACCCGTAGAGTAGACTAATGGGTGGACATTAGGTACACTATGTTGAAAATCGTCATCTTCAGATGCATTCAATTGCTGATCATCTTCTCCAAATTGTATATAATTTGGATCGGTATCAAGGTTATCATGCTCTACAGAAAATTTTGAACCGTTATAGTTTAATATTTTAATGCTATAGGTTATTAAATTTAAATTTCTTTTACCTGATAAATCATCTGATGAAAGAACCATATTTTCATCGTCGTTTATACTTTCTGGTTGTATAGTATTTAGTAACGCTTCTGGGGATTTAATTTTATCTTCAAAAGCATTAGATTGCTGAAAATCTTCTCCAAAATGAGTATAATGTTGATCAATGTCATTCGCTAAAGAAAATGTTGATTTGTCAAAATATGTAACAGCGATTTAAGTAGATAAATTAAAAGGTACTACCATATACAATTTCTGATGAATTAATAATGTYCTCATTTTCATTTTCATTATATTCCATTAGAGGCTGTAATACATGGTAAATAGCCACACGCCCACACCTGGAATAAAAACTTTTTTTGTTTTAAATATATCATTAAAAACTAAATATTAAAGTAAGAACTGAAATATTACTTCATTTTTAGGTATGAATATACCTGAAAATGTAATACTTTAAAAAATAACTTTGAAGTATGTATAAGACAACAATTTAAAAAATATAGGTATCACAAAAAAAAAWKTATATGGTAAAAACACTTATTCAAGTAAAATGGCTGATTTTTTGCAATTTTTTTAAATATCAATATTTTCGTTAAGGCCCCTGTAAACCCTATCATTTTTTCATCAAAAAGACCTACGGGACCGAAATAAATTTAAGTACTTCTAATTGTCCGATTTCAAAAATATAAAGATGTTTGAATTGGTCAACAAGKCTACTTTGCATCGGTAGGAGCATATTTTTTATATTTTAGATTTTTTTGTTATATATTCAATATAAAAATTGAAAAATTTATAAAATGTAAAATATTTATTCTGGTTAAGAATTCGCTAAAATTGAAAAAGTGCTCCAACCGATGCAAAGGTCTTTCTTATTCATAAAATGGTTTTGAACATTTTGATCAAATGAATTTATTGACTAGTGCATGCGCGTGCGTTTAGCCAACCCGTCGCGCCGTCGCGCGTCGCCGACAATCTCGACAATTTATTGTTTTCGTTATCGATATTAATTTCACGAATGATTATAAAAATAGTTTTATTGACAAAAATAGTACCGCACAGTGGGCTAGAATTCAATTCTAAGCGGCCAAAAATCAAATTTTTTCAAAATGATTAAAAATAGTCCCTATCAATACGGAATGAAGTTTTTTTTTTTTTTAATTGGTTTTCACATTTTATTCATTGAAATTTTATTTTTCTCACTATATTATAACTTATAAAATAACATTTTAATTTTAATGATATATTATATTTTCGTTTATATTATTTCATTATTAAAACAATTCTTGTTCTCATAAATTTTAACATAGGTATACATTTTTATTTTATTTAATATAGATAATAAGTGTTAATTTGAATCAGAATTCGAAGTTGTATCATTTTCTGATGACTGTGTTTCTTGATTTTCCAAGTTCAATAAATACAATGCGTCCGGAGACAATTTTTCTTTTAAATGTTTTTTTGGTGGGCTTAGCGATGATATTAGTGGATCCGAAGATATAAGGAGAAAGTGTATTAAGTCTGAATTAGTATTAATACGAGAGGATTTTCTTGAATGATATTTTCGATACCTTAAATAATCTTTATTTCGCGATTTTTGAGCTTCTTCTGATAGTTGCCCAATTGGGAGAAACGCGTATTTTATAACAATAGAACCATGTATTAATACTTTGTGCACACTAGAGGGCATTCGATACCAGTTATATAAATGCACATAAAGTTCTGCTGTTTCTTTGGCGTAATTATCAAATTTTTCAAAATTAATGTCAAGACCACTGGAAATCACCGTTAGTATTGTCGAAAATCTCTTAATTAAATTAACGTTTACTCCAGTTATTTCCGATACCATTTCAGGGTCTTTAAAAAATCTACGGGCAATATTTCCGGTATTTGATGTTCCCATRCCCGGAACAACTCTATCGACTTTCAATCCCATTTCATTCCATAGTCGATTTTGAATTTCTTTTTTTCTCTCAGCAACTAATAATTTTTGATTTTGCGTTAGTCTACTTGTAGTTGGAGTTGATAACTTGTATGCTATATGTAAAATGCATTCTAGAAACTTAATCCACGCATCTAATTTAGATAAACCGTATTTTATGTTTTCCATATTTATATAAAATTTGCACAAGTTTTCAAGGTCGTTCATTGCTTTAGGATTACATTGACAAATAAAACATTTTTGACTCGATGTGTCCGTTAAAACATTAATAACTTTTCCATCAATCATAGTCATAATAAGTGTGTAATTAATGGTGAGTGACTTTTCATAATCAAGTACTATTTCTGTGGTTTGCAAGTTCTCAATATCTTGTTCGACTTTTTGTACTTCTGTTCTAGTTGTTTCTGGTGTCTCTTTTGTATATATGAATTTTATTGGTCTACAGTAGCGAGTGGACGATGGTTTTGGATTTTCCTACAAAATTATTTGTTTATTATTTTTCTTGTTATTTGCAGTTAATCGTAAAGGAACTAAAGAAAATAAAAAAACACTTGCATATGATTTTCTGTTGTGTTCGGCTTCATTATAATCAGGGGCGGACTGGGAGTATATCAGCCCAGGTGGAGATGAAGTATACCGGCCCATAAGTATAATAATATCTTTATTGTCATAACTCATAGGCATAAATATGGCGATGCTGTCACACTTCACACCCCCCACCCCCACCAAAAACCATGTGAGTTACCCAATGTTTTGGATTTTGCTCTTTTATTCTAGACTGTAAACCTGAAAATTCGCCTCTCATATTCGATGCACCATCGAACGATTCTCCGATCACATTGGTAAAATTCATATTATGTTTCAGGAAAAGACTTTTCAACATATTATAATACCCTTCACCCGAAGAATCTGTTACTTTTACTAATGCAAATAGCCGTTCAGTAACATTTCCATTAAATATGTATTGAATACAGATAGCCGCTTGATCAAAAACACCAACATCCTGTGTGCTATCAACTTGAATACTAAACTTTTGACCTCTTAGTTCTTGTTTTATTTTATCTCTAATAGAATTTAGGATTGAATCAATTATTTTGTWGATTGTGGTTTTTGATAAAAATGTTACAAGTGAACCTCGACCTTTTGAGTACTTTGAATTATTTTCCTGCTTATATTTCCTACGTTCACTATTTTTTATAGATGAACTTAGATGCTTCTGTAAAATAGGATCTCTTTTTGCAGTAAACTTCACTAGTTCGAGAAAATTTCCTCTATTTGTATTAATGTCACTAGTTCTTCCTAAATGATAAAGGCTTTCAGAATTTCCAGATCCTCTAAATGGTAAACTTTGTTTCCCAAGAAATTTGTTAATTTCAAATATTTGTGTTATAACATGAATATTTTCTTCAGTTTG